AATTTTCAGAGTTTTTAGTTTGCCCTATACTTGTAGTATACGACGATGCTTCTTGCCAAATTTCAGACTTTTAGGTCAACAAATTTTGATTCCCTTGAGTGTCGAAATATGCGGTTATTGCAGCATAAACGGCCATATCTTTTTTTTACGTTAACTTAGAAGTTTGATTTTTTTACAGCTTCAAGAGACCGTAGACGTGAATATATGGTTTTAATTTCAACCCGATCCCTAAACACATTCCCGAGATAAAGACTCTTGACAAACAGACAGATGGACAACAAAGTAATTCTATAAGGGTTCCGTTATTTCCTTTTGAGGTACGGAACTCTAAAAACAGTAAAAATTTATATTCTGTAGTGGTAAAATAGCTAGTCAAAATTTCAACGATACAGACGCAATAAGGGTAAGTGTATATTAATTATCAACCATCCCTTATTGTTGATATTTCATTATCGATATTTCGAATTAATTCCGCATTTAACCGTAACATTACACGTGTAGGGGTGGAAATGGGTGATACTTACTTATTGATCTGGGGTTAAGTTAAACGAATATACTTTTTAAATCTAACGACACGACATCGATTTATCGAAGTTTAAAGTCTTTGTTTATTAAATTCTAAGACTCAAGAAATAAGTCTAAAAAAGATTATTCATCCCCACAAACAGTGGGGATGGAAAGTCTCTGTCTGTCCGTCCGCAGCCTAGTTTAGAGACTTTTTACTACAAGTATCTAATTTTCTATTTGCATATGTACTAATAACACCAACAAAGTGGTTAAAAAATCTTAACAAAAAATATTTTATCAAAAGTTAAAAAATTCAAATAAAAAAGCTAAATACTTAGAAAACATACTATTTTGACACATAAAACGTGTAGGTAGTGACAAACTAAGGAGCCCTTTTTTTTTCGTGCGGAAATCCCCTCGGATACCACCTATCGGTGGCATGTCGGACTCGAACCGACTAAAACCGCACGCCGTCTCGGGTACTAATAGCCGGGGAACCAGGTATACCCTAGAAAACTAAGGAGCCCTACACTGCGTGTGGCTCGAATCACACTTGACCGGTTTTATTTAATTCACAATTCTTCTATGTATAATATGTATGTATTTACAAAAAAAAAGTACATATATTATGTATTTATATCAGTTGTCTAGTAGCCATAGTACAAGCTCTGCTTAGTTTGGGACTAGATGGCGTTGTGTGAATGCGGTAAAAAGAAAAAAACAATTATAAAATGATAAAAAATAATTGACATTATTTTTATATTGATGATTTTGTTTTAAATGGAAAGTAAGGCTAGTTATGACGGCAATTTTTTGTTTAAATTGTCTAAATCAGTACAAGTCTTTGACCAATCACGTACCTACTTATAAAGCGATTTCGACCAATAGAAAAACGGATGTCGTGTCGGTATCTTCCCGTTGATGTTAACAGGCATTACGGGTGAGGATTTTACTAATTATTTTGGGCTCTCGTCAAGTTTAGGATATTGTTCGTAATAAATCTTTGAGGGTAAGTTTGTGAACTATTCAACTTAAGTTTCGTATCGTTAGTCCATTGATATTACTAAAAACTATTTTGGGTCTCGCCGCGTTTATGAGCAGTAGTAATGATTGTGATGTTCTTACCGTGTGGTGACGGATTCAGAATACAGAGTGTCACCACCCCTATTCATCACGACTAAGGGCAAACTACGCAGGACAACAGCACTGCAAAGAGAAGGAAAATTTAAAACAAACCCTATACCTACCCGTCTGGCCAGCGTACGCCAAAACCTCCATTGTAAGGAGAGGCCTATGTCTAGCAGTTGACTGTTAAGGGCTGCTGATGATGATGATGATGTGTGAATATAGTTTGAATTTCAGTAAGGGTTTTATTGTTATTGATAAAGAGTATAAAAAAATTATCTGTTAGTGTGTGTATGTGTGTACATAATTTTGTTTGTATTTTTTCTTTGCTAAATACTTTTCTGGTATATTTTTTTTTAATAAAAGTGACAACTCCCGCATAAGGAATATATCGTGTCTCGCGGGGATGTACAAACATAACATAACATAACAAACATACATAAGAACGGACACAAAAAACACCCAGACTCAGAACAACAATTTGTGGATCACAAAAAGTGTCGTCCCATGTGGGGTTTGAACCCATAACACTCAACGTAGTAGAAAGCGGCGTGGCGACCGCTTAAACCACTACGCCATCCGTGCAGTCTATTGGCATTGTATCACAATATAATATAATATTCTACCAGCGCCATCTAGTCTCAAACTAAGCAGAGCTTGTCCTATGACTACTAGACAACTGATGCGTGTATAAATACATATATATATCAGCACTTAATCTCATTAGATGTCAATATCAGCAATTTTTTTCTTTTTTGAACATATTGACATGCTGACTCGAGCGGGAGGGACTCCAAGGGCAGCAACGCACTTGTGACTTTTGAGCTGCAGGTGTCCATGGGCGGCGGTAGTTGCTTACCATCAGGTGATCAGTATGCTCATTTGCCCCCTTAGAACATAAAAAAAGAATATCTGCCCAATCTTTTATTGAATTATAAAATAGTGTTATCTCAACACTTGTTATAACAAAGGTGTCGTTGATTAGAGATTGGGGTCAAATGGACAAAGGTCTTCAAATTTAGCTGTATAGGTAGGTTAGAATTTAAGATACAGAAATCAAGTTGCTCCATTTTCTTTATTACAACTGACAAAAGAGGACAGATGGATCAGATGGATATATGGGTTGATCTTATATATACATTTAAACTCACATTTTGGTTTGAATGGGTTATAATGGTGAAGGATTTAGAATACAGAGTGTCACCACCCCTATCCATCCCAAGGGAGCCGTAAGAACCGACTAAGGGAGCAAACTATGCAGAACAACAACACTGCAAAGAGAGGGAAAACTTGAAACAAACCCTATACCAACCCGTCTGGCCAGTGTGGTATAGTAGAACAAAACCCCCTTTCTAAGAAGAGGCCTATGTTCAACAGTTGACTATAAAAGGCTGTTGGTGGTGGTAGTGGTGGTTTATAAAGTTGGGACTCCACGGCAATAGCCAATCTATGATAACATATTGTTCAGTTCTATACCATAAGTTTCAGAAAGATATCGTATTGTATTGCAATATCGTTCTCAAGAAGAAGTGGTATATGTTCATTGTACGGGTTAGATTACTAGAAATTGCATACGAATTTGAACTTTATTTACAAACAGCACCCTTTAGTTTCTCAATATTGAATTGATTGTCTAAAGTCTGAAGTTACCATAACAACTATAGAACAAATAAACACCCTGCGAAAACACCAATAAATTCTAAGGCTTCTAAATTTTAATTTATTTATAATAACTTTAGTGTTTTGAATAATAAAGCATATTATAGTTATGAAAGAAACGAAATAAACAAAACATATGTTCCACTTTTCCCCGTCATACTCTATTAAAGAACACACGGGTGTTGAAGCCATTTTACAAAGTACGAAGTTAATAACGAGAGTGTGGTTCAATACGTTTAAGGCCAAAGACATCGGAAATATTCTGTGAGTAAATCTTTTATGATATTAAGGCCCATATCCAGCAGTGGACTAGTAAAGGCTGTTGATGATTATTTTAATAACTGGTTATTAAGCTAACATTTGTTCTATATCTGGGTTTAATTTATCTATAATATGCATGTATTTAGGACTGGATAAGCAGGAGTCTGGTTACTGTAGAACAGACGTTCTTCCTTCTTCTTCTTTTTCCACCTTTAGAATTATATATGGAGCCTAAAAATCTTAAATAACCGCATGGTGACGGATTAAGAATACAGAGTGTCACCACCCATATTTATCCCGTGGGTGTCATAACAGCCGACTAAGGGAGCAAACTAGGCAGGACAACATCACTGCAAAGAGAAGGTAAACTTAAAACCAGCCCAATCCTAAACCGTCTGGTCAGTGTAGTATGACTAAAACCTCCTTTCCTAAAAATTATTATATTAAAGTATTACTAAAAATTCCTTATTTAATGTTAAGTATATTCATAGTCATATTTACACAGATGTGTAACACATTTTGGTACACAGTTATGGTATGTTAAATACCTAAATTCAAAAGTTATTTTCAATTTCAAATAAATAAATTTTAACATAGTACCTTTCTATTAAGAAAAATCCCTAATAGAAAAATCAATTACAATTTTCTCCCTCCCGGAATAGAACCAAGGACTTTACGATCACACGATCACAAGATTTATTATGCCGAAAAACGCCTAAGATAATTTGTGTTCCCGGGGCCTCCGTGTTGGGATATACCCGGGTAAATTAGACCGGTTAGAAAGACCCATTCGTGACAAAACAGCATATTGTATTGATTTGAAAATACCACTTCACTGTTTGCTACGAGCAGGTGACGACAAAAGCACATCATCATCATCATCTAATCAATAGCCTTTAATAGTCCACTGCTGGACATAGGCCTCTCCTTAGAAAAGAGGTTTTGGCTTACTATACCACGCTGGCCAGACGGGTTGGTATAGGGTTTGTGTCAAGTTTTCCTTCTCTCTGCAGTGCTGTTGTTCTGCGCAGTTTTCTCCCTTAGTCGGCTCTTACGACTCCCACGGGATAAATAGGGGTGGTGACACTCTGTATTCTTAATCCGTCACCATACGGATCATGTTTGTTTGTTTATTTGTTTGTTACGCTTTTACACCTAAACCACTAAAGCGATTTTAAACACTCTTTCACCGATGGAAAGCTGCACATAATAACCGACATACACGCGGACGGAACCGCGGGCAAAATCTAATAATATATACTTACTAGTTTTTATGTTATCGTTTAGGCCTAAAAGCGTAACAAACAAAGTCACATTCATATTTTAAATACCTATAAGTATATTTTAAATATATGTATATTACTCATTTCATGTCTTTTGTACATGCATTAAAAAAAATGCTATGTGACAGGGTCAATAATTTAATGTTTTTGTTTAGATTTGGCATTATGGACGCTATTGCAGTACAGTTGAGGACGAAATTCATCCAAATGGGACTACGTATGATAGTTTTGTTACAACTTACATCATATCTTTGGCCGCAGGACACTCCTCTAAAAGGTCAGTTTTTTTTATTCTATATTCTAAAATAAGCTCGTGACTAAACGGTAACCGTTAGGTTAGGACATTGCAAAGTCAAGCATTCATAGCCAGGTCAGTCTGTGGATGAGTGACCTTTCTTGAGACCCCTTCGTGCCTCGGAGAGAACGTGAAGCCGTCGGCTCCGTATGCCATATGAACATCTGTGGCAATTAATAGTTGGAGCTCTAAAAAATCCATCTACTGAACTTTGATGTCGCCTATTACTTGGGTTCTGGAGGTCTGATGGTAGTCGCTACACGTAAAAATCGAAGCTCAGCCGTGTCGAAGTATGTTGAAAGACGACCCATACCCAGTTTGGGAAAGAGGCTCGGAGGATGTTGATTACTATATTCTCAAATTTTTTACACTCCATAACATATAAGTACTAGTTTAAGAACCAATCAAAACGTGTTAAATATATATATGATTTCCTTGCCTGTCCAACGAGTATACACTTCTACCACCACGTACTAAGACCAGTATAGTTTAAATAGTAACACAGCATACTGTCCGTCCTTTAACTACTGGTTGATTCCATAACCTTTCAGTATAGAAATTGAGACTAATTCTCCGTTGATAGGATTTGCAATTAAACAGTCTGTACAGATGAGACTGGACAAAGAGAAGCCCAGAGAAAAAGTTTTTTGGATTAAAAGAAATAATAATCAGATATTTGATGTGCTTCATTTATACGTACCTCTTATCGAGACGGTAGTTTCATAATAATAGTAATTATACCTTACATTTTGCACATAGCTAGACCATACCTAAGGTGATCTTGCCTTATGGGTTCTAGAACCCAGATATCATGATTCTCCTATTTTTTTTTAAATTGGGGTCTATACTGTTGGGGTCACCCAGCTCACATACAGTCAAATTCATTCACACTCATTGCGAATATATATACCAATTTAATATTTTGTAGTTTTTAATTTTATTTTTAGATGTACAACCATGCTACGACTTTATAATAGTGGGATGTGGTACAGCTGGCAGCATTCTTGCGAACAGGCTATCTGCGAGCGGCCAACATCAAGTGCTGGTCATTGAAGCCGGTGGAGACCCTCCCATGGAATCCTTAGTAAGTAAAATATTCTATATCATGGACTAATAAACTTCCATCTCTCTATAAATCCACTTGTGTAGTGTTAGATCTGGTCTATCTGCTCTCTTTCTAGTCTTACTAATAGTTTCTAGTCTGTGTATAGAAATGGGATGATGCACCGACAACAGAATTAGTAGATTCAGATTTACCTAGTACACCTTTTTGTAATTCGACCTTTTAGTAAACAATAATTTCAGATCAAATCATTCAAAAAGCTATGTTTCCAATTGCAAGCGTAAATATTCATTGCCTTTGTACGCTTGTTCACTACACATATTTACCGGTATGTCGTACTACGTTACGACGAAAGCGCATTTTTACCGTACTAGTGCGAATAAAATTTATTATTATTAATATTTTAAAATGCTTGTATATTATGTCGGTTTGGCGTCGCCGTACCTTACATCTGTTACTATGTCGAAATATTGTCTCAATACTGGGTAACAATCTATTATCTTGTCTCTGAACTAAGAATTTTTATTATTTATAAAAGATTTTATTCAACTTAACCTATTCGGGTTAGTTTGTATATTTAACAATAAAGTAATACATACATTCTAGTTAGATATTATTTTGGGTAATCTGACCAAAAAACTTGCAAACTTCGCAAATTAGGATTAAGTAGAGAAAATCTACAAGAAATGTAATGACACAAAATGACAACCCAACCGTCCCAAAACGAATGCTATGATACTCTTTTAAAAATACTTTTCTTTACTGTGCATTGAGAAACTTCAAAACCTTATAATATGAAGGTTTGCTCAAAATATTTTCTTCTGTCGTAAAGTAAGTTGACAAAATCAGCAAAAATCAAGAAAGAAATCAGATTAGATCAGATTAGATTAGCCGGACTGATATAAAAACCTAAGACTTCTCGTAGGTACAAATACAGAAATATTTATTTTACCACTTTAAATAGTAAAATAAATAGATTCAACAAATCAGATAAATCAAAATAATTCATCAATCAAACATGACCCTTGATTTTATTCGTTCTTTAATAAAATGAAAATATAATTAGGTTAGGTTAACTCTGCATCAGTTTGAAAATGTTGAATACTTTTTCCAGTACGCGGGAACCTTTCTATACCTGAAAAACTCCCAATATGACTGGAACTTCACCACTGTCAACGATGGATTCACAGCACAAGCCCATAGAAACAATATCCTCACCTTAACTAGTGGAAAAATGCTCGGCGGTAGTAGTTCTTTAGGTCACTTGCTTTATCTCCGCGGAGATCCGACTGACTACAACCGTTGGGCTGATATTGTCAAAGACCAATCATGGAACTACGAACACCTGATAAAATATTTTAGGAAATCCGAAATGCTAGACTTTAAGGATATGTATACACGAAACAATTTATTTCATGGCACTGATGGACCAATGGGTGTAACCAAGATTGTGAATCACGTCAGTCAAAAATATTTACATATTTTCAAACAAGCAGGTCACGAAATTATAAAAGACGGAAATACGAATATGACTCTAGGATACTTTGAGCCGATGTTCATGAGCAAAGACGGCATCCGTCAAAGCGTATCTTATACATATTTAACTCCAATTAAAAATCGACCAAATTTACATTTTCTGAAAGAAGCTGAAGTGATAGACATTAAATTAAATAAAGACAAAGCTGTCGGTGTAACAGTAATTAAAAATAATGACATCATAAGAATGAAAGCAAACCGAGAGATTATTCTTTCAGCTGGTGCAATTAAAACACCTCAGCTGTTGATGTTATCAGGTATAGGTTTAAGTGATCATTTAAGTGACCATGGTATCGAAGTTAAAAAACATTTGCCTGTAGGCAAATTCTACCAAGACCATTTAGAAGTAACTGTTGTACATAAACTAAATGTTAACAATCAGAAATCATTCCCAGCTGATCCTCACGAATTTCCCGCATCCGTCATCGTAGGTAACGTGGCTGTTGACAAAGGAAAAAGAGCACCAGACTATCAGTCACAAAATTTTATAATTCCCAGTGATTCTGACACTCTCCTAACACTTTGTTCCGTTGAAAATGCTTTTATAAATGATATCTGCGAATCTATATACAACAAAACAAAAGGTTATGAAACTATGCTTTCAAAAATTATATTCTTGCGTCCTAAAGCAAAAGGCCATGTTGTTTTGCAAAGTGCAGACTATAAAGACAACCCTTTGATTATCTCCGGTTTTTATTCTCACGATATAGATGTGGATACTATGTCAAATTACATTATTCACTTTCTACAACTATCCAAAACACCCGTTTTCAAACAATTTGGTGGCGATATCGTTTTCCCAACATTACCGGAATGTGATAATTATCCTGGTATTACATATTGGAAGTGTTATGCGTTAAATATGATGGGCTCTTCATATGACTACACGGGTACTTGTTCTATGGGCTCAGTAGTTGATAGAAGACTAAGAGTAATGGGGGTGGGAGGTCTTAGGGTGGTAGACGCTAGTGTGATACCTGTAATACCCAGTGGTAGTATCCAAGCAGCAGTTATGGCGATTGCAGAGAAAGGAGCTGATATGATTTTAAAAGAGGCTAAGAACAAAAGTCCTTCTAGATGCAATCCAAATACATAAATGTTTTTTTTTAGTAAATATTTGTTTGCCATATCGTAGCGTTACTTTTTTGGTAGGGCTTCTAGTGATCTTTGTGAAATTTGTAAAGACGGAAATAGTAAAGTTATCTACTCAGGTAAAGTGAAGATTACATTAATTATAAAAAAAAATATCGTTTCATCCAATAATAAATACGGGTTTGCAAAAAATTGCAATATAGACAATTAAAGAAACGTTTGTTTTGAAAGCCAAGCAATTGTTTAAATGTAATTATTAGTAACAGTCCTAATATATTTTGATTTTTAAATAAAAACTATTTTTTCTCAAAGAAATCTGCAATATTTACTCGAAATATGTTTTAATTTTCGTTTTATCATGTTAGGAAATTTAAAAGAAATGATTCTACGAAGTCATTTTTAGTAAGCAATTATTTTTTATTCTTATTTACTAAGGCTTTACATAAATCTTCGAAAAACACATAATTTGTTGATATTTCTAAAATTTTCCTGTAATATAAATGTATATATAAGAAAAACATTCGCTATGAACCGCTAAGGGATTTTGAAATATTTATTTAGTTGTTATTTCTATTCCATGCATTCCGAACTCCAAAAATAGTTAAACTGATGTGTTTTCTATTAAATACTACTGTTCCATATTTACAAAATATGATCATAATTTTAATCGTAATTTTATACACACACGGTTAATTTTATTTATTTATTTATTCAAGCACCAGAAGTTTACTAATATTTGTAGAACATGGCGTGTTAATAGACTATGTGTATGCACATACATTGTTTTCAATAATTATTAAAGTTGTGTTACCAAAACGCTGTCTTTTATTTAATTATTCTTTATCGTTTCTGTATTCTTTTTTTCATTTTAATTTCAATTTAAATTTAAAAACAACAAAATCAATCTTTCTTTTAATGTATCATAAAGCTGCTTCTACTATTATAATTTTGACGGGCCTGTTGGTCTAGTGGTTAGTGCCCCTGACTGCTAAGCTGGAGGTCGTGGGTTCGATTCCCACCCAGGACAAATATTGTGTGATGAACATGATCATTTGTTCTGTGTCTAGGTGTAATTTATCTATAATATGTATGTATTTAGAAATATATATAAGTATGTTTATCAGCAGTCTGGTCACCATAGCACAGGCTGTGCCTAGTTACGGATCAGATGGCCGTGTGTGAGATGTGTGATGTATATTATTAACTAGCTGACCCGCGCAACTTCGTCTGCGTCTCTCAATAGTAATAAAGTTTCTCCGTTTTTGAAATATTCTTCATTGGTGCTCCGCTCCTATTGGTCTTAGCGTGATGATATATAGCCTATAGCCTTCCTCGATAAATGTGCTATCTAACACTGAAATAATTTCTTAAATCGGACCAGTAGTTCCTGAGATTAGCGCGTTCAAACAAACAAACAAAGAAACAAACGAACAAACAAACTCTTCAGCTTTATAATATTAGTATAGATTACATAGCTAAAATCGAGCACAAGCGATATAAGTTGTATAAATTTATCTAAGGAGTAACGCCGAATTCTTTCTCTTTGAACTCTTCCTAAAATTAACATTTATTGGTCTCTTTTGCATAAGTATTTCTTTCGATTAAATGAAAAAAAAAACCCAAACAGTCTTGTTAAATATTTTGCTAAATCTTCTTAGTGTCAAATACATAAAGCGCTTGAAGAAAGTATTGTTGTTATCAAAGTTGGAAGACTAAATTTGCTGTTATTCTAAATTTCAAAAGGTCTGCACAGTATATGCTGAGCTGAGCTTCTGAACGCTGTAAATTTTTAGGTTGTTAGTAAAATAGCTGAATTTTGATAACAATGTTGAGAGAAATTGATTGTCAGTATTTGTTTACGAAGTTTCGTAAGAATATTCTAGATAATATATCCTTCATATACTGCATAATTCTTGCACAGTAATTTCTGGGTAATCGATTGAACTCAAATTGGCTTGTACCACTGGTATTTGTAGTTCGGTTGCACTTTTAAAAGGATACCAGATTAATGTTCGTTTTATTTCATTTTTAGTAGTATTTCTTCCTCTTAATGCATCCTATTTTATAATTGGTCCTCACATACACTTATAAATTAAGCATTTCGAACGTATTTTAAAGTATTATGTTTGAGTTCACACGAGTACAGGTTTTGCACTCGATTTTATATAATTACATGTGTAGCATCGAAGATGGATGGATGACACTGCAGTCTTTAAGTTTTGGAGAGTTTCTGTGTATCGTCTGTCTATACCCAAAATATGATTTCCATTTTAAGTCAAAATTAAAGGGAAACGCTATACAGATCTTAGTTTCTAATGAGAACCTTGATAGCAAAAACATGACCCAATTTTGAAAAATTTAACCTAAGCTCTGACCATGGCGTTTCTAAAACCCTGGCTCCAATTAATTTATCGGAGAAAAAAAGTATTAATCATCATCATCATTAACAGCCTTTATTAGTCCACTGCTGGACATAGGCATCTCTTTAGAAAAGAGGTTTTGGCCTACTATACCACGCTGGCCAGACGGGTTGGTATAGGGTTTGTTTCAACCCCCGAATAGGGCGCACCTCTGGCGCCCCCAGAGGATATTGGCGGTCAGAGCCATACGCGGATACCGCACGGTGTCCACCGAGGCGGCTTGCGCCTTGGCCGGAACACCCCCGTGGGATTTGGAGGCGGAGGTGCTCGCCGAAGTTTATCGGCGAGTGGCTGACTTCCGGGCGGAGAGCGGATTTCGCCCTCCGCCCGAAGACGTGCGCGAGTGGCGCAAAGCCGCTCGCCGAGCCACCATGGTCAGATGGTCGTTCCGGCTGGAGACTCCACGCGCTGGCTTCGCCGCCGTGGAGGCTCTCCAGCCGGTCATCGCAGAGTGGGCAGGGCGGCAGCACGGGACCCTTTCCTTCCGGCTGACGCAGGTGCTTTCCGGACACGGTTGCTTCGGAAAGTACCTGTACTCGGTCGCTAGGAGGGAATCGAGTCCCGCCTGCCACCACTGCGACTGCAGTGAGGATTCGGCCCAGCACACGCTGGCGGTTTGCCTCGCATGGGCGACGCAGCGCCGGCCCTCACTGCAGTCGTCGGAGCAGATCTCTCGCTACCGGCCGTAATTCGCTCCATGGCCGGTAGCGAAAGTTGTTTTACCGCGTTCGCAACCTTCTGCGAGGAGGTAATCTCGCAGAAGGAGGCGGCGGAGAAGGTCCGGGAGGACGACCTCTACTCGGACCTGATCCGCCGCCGGCGAACCGGGCGGCGGAGGCGCGCTCACCTGCGCCTCATGCCGCCCTGAGTGTGGCCGCGGGTGGACGGGATGGGTTCTCCCCTCCACCAGCATTGGTTGGCCACCCGCAAGGGGGCGGCGTCCACGTGTGCCGGACGTCGCCTAAAGAGAGGAAAAAAATTTGAGACGGAGCCCGCAAACAGGAGCGGGCCGGCGCTGGGAGGGGTCCAGAAGGCGATAACTACCTGGACCCCTGCTAAACTGGAAGCGCAAAGAGGGCACACCGTGTGGTTTTAGTCGGTTCGAGTCCGACACACCACCCCGCCGAACGAGAGCCCCGGCGGGGTGACGGTCCGAGGGGATTTCCACAAGATAAAAAAAAAAAAAGGGTTTGTTTCAACAAAGTATTGAAAACATTTAATTAAATAACTACTAAAAGAACTTGATTTGTAACATTACAGGGTATGATCAACATTGTAACTAATTTTTCCAGTATCCGGGGTTGACCGCTTACCTGCCAAACTCCATGCATGAGTGGAACTTCACTACCGTCAACGATGGATACACAGCTCAAGCGCACATAAACCACGTTCTCAAACTACACAGTGGAAAAATGCTTGGAGGAAGCAGTTCCTTAGGCCATCTACTTTACGTTAGAGGAAGCTCACATGACTTTGATGAATGGGTTAAATATTTAGTTGACAAATCATGGAGCTATCAAAATGTACTTTATTATTTCAAGAAATCGCAAAAACTGGACTACAAAGACTTTGTTTATCCGGGCACAGATATCTTTCATAGTACTAATGGAGAAATGGGCGTAAAAAAACTTGTTAATCAAATTAGTCAAAAATATTTAAACATTTTTAAAGAAGCAGGTCATTCGACTATGTTTGATGGAAATAGAAATATATCATTAGGATACTACGAGCCAATGTTCATGATTAGAAAAGGTATTCGTCAGAGCACATCTATTGCATTCTTAAGCCCTATAACCACACGGTCAAATTTACATATTTTAAAAGAAACTGAAGCCACTAAAATTTATTTTCATAATTTACTTGCTAAGGGAGTAACTGCTGTTAAAGACGGTAAAGAAATATATATTAAAGCTAACCGAGAGGTAATTATTGCAGCTGGTACAATTAAATCAGCACAGCTATTGATGCTGTCAGGTATAGGTATAAAAGAACACTTAGTAGCCAATGGTATACCGTTAAAAAAAGACTTACCAGTTGGTAAATTTTACCAAGACCACTTAGCTGTGATTCTTGTTCATAAATTTAAAGCTACTAAGACAAATATGACCTCTTACGATCCTCGTGAAATGGGTGTAAATATGATAATAGGTAACGCTGCGGTGAATAAACTCAAACCATATCCAGAATATCAAACATTGAACTACATAATACCGAGTAACTCAGACAGACTGTTATCACTCTGCTCTTTAACATATTCCTTTTCAAACGAAGTTTGTAATTCGCTATACAATCAAACTAGAGGTTTTGAGACTATGTTTTCACTGATTGTGTTGTTACACCCGAAGTCAAGAGGTCATGTTGCCTTACAAAGCAAAGATTATCAACATCCTCCAATGGTTATTTCTGGTTTTTATTCTCATGAAGATGATATGAAAGATGTGGCAAATTTTCTAGTGGACTTTCTTCAAATACAAGAAACACCTGTTTATAAACAATATGGAGGGGAATTTATTGTACCTAAAATAGAAGCATGTAATAACCGCACAGGCGTTGCATATTGGCATTGCTACGCATTGAATATGATGGTAAGCACATATGACTACGCCAGTTCTTGTTCGATGGGTCAAGTGGTTGATGAAAAATTAAAAGTTTATGGGATGTCTGGTCTTAGAGTAATGGATGCTAGTGTGATACCTTTACTTCCTAGTGGGAATATTCAAGCAACTGTAATGGCCATAGCAGAAAAGGGGGCTGATATGGTATTGAGAGATGCGAAACATCAATTTCCAGCAAGATGTGATTAAATCTTTTAGAAACTTCATAATTTCTTGTATTCAAAGGCAGTAAGACCCTGTATCAAAAAGCACAGCATCAGAGGGTGTAAAAAGTCACTAGCTGATTTTACTGATCACTGCCACTGTCACTTAAATAATATCAGAAAAATTGTGTTATTTTATGTAAACTTATTTGAACTGTGATAATAAAATTAACAATGTTCATTGCGTTACTGTTTTGTGATTTTCATTTCCCTTATGCCACAATATATAGCTTAACTTTGTTTGAAACTAGATGACGTTGTGTGTCAAATGTCAAAAGTATTATTCCTATTATTATAAAATGTAATAAAAACATAATATTTAGGTTTATCAGTTTAAATTCTGTACAGCAAAATTCCAAGATTCCAAATCAAGAGACATTATTATCATTAAATGAAAGGAACATTCATTTCATTCATTCGTGAAAAAGAACGGGAGTGCGTAACGGGATCTACCATCCGTGATCTGTGTGGAATGCCGAATTAAGAATAAACACACAAACCTTATACCAACCTATCTGGCCAGCGTGGTATAGTAGGCTAAAACCTCCTTTCTAAGGATTCTCTGAAATTCTCTAGAAAGGAGAATTTCTAGCTTATGTCCAGCTGTGGACTACTAAAGGCTGTTGATGATGATGATGATAATGCTAAAAGCTATGAAAGGCAAATAATTTCTAATGTTATTTTTATAAACGCGCTTATCTGTAGAACTACGTCTCTGATTTAAGAGAAAATGAGCGAGCTTTACAGCTGTCTCATATGACAGACTGACAGAAAACTCTAGCATAGCGCTTGCTAAGGAGGTTTTGGTATAGTAGGCCAGACGGGTTGGTAAAGGTTATGTTTCAATTTGCAGTGCCGTTGTCATGCATTTGCTCCCTTACTCTTCTCTAGTGTCATTTACGGGATGAATAGCGGTAGTGACACTCCGTATTTTTAATACAGGATATAGTATTATCAGCACGGAATGTAGTATAATTTTTAGCATATTTTTTATATTCATATATATATATACTAGCTGACCCGGCAAACGTTGTTTTGCCATATACATTATTTCTAGGAAATATTGAAAAAAAATTTAGGAGTGGGTCACCCTTGTCTTTAGGGGTATGAAAAATAGATGTTGGCCGATTCTCAGACCTACCCGATGTGCACACAAAATTTCAGAAAAATCGGTCCAGCCGCTTCGGAGGAGTATGGTAACTAACATTGTGACACGAGAATTTTATACATAAGATTTTAAAGGTTTACTAGCAACCGAAGTTACTAGTATTCCCGTTAACCCAAGCTAAATTGCTTGTGTTAAGCGTGAATTCACGTCGGTAGTGTACAGGTCAGGATTCGAACCCACGACCTCTTGATCGCAAGTCCAATGCCTTAACCACTAGGTTACCGCCGCTATAAATATCAAGGGTAGGTATTTTATAAATATATCCCTACAAATAATAAGGACAGTGATAGGCCTTCACTATTGAATAGCGAACGACCATATGCCGATTGTGATGAAATACAGTGTTTACAATTAAATATTTCATCATTATTTTCTCCAGTTTTATCGCGATGGACATGACCTACGCCATTACTGATTTTCACCAAAGCCTCACACCGATATTTGCTGTAACTAATTACCCTTACAGTAATACAACATACATACCTACCCATTTTCATACCTTCGTATCAAACTATTTTGTCCCTTTAGTGTTAATGTTTACTACCCACTGCTGGATATAGGCCTTAGAAAAGGTCGTCTGGCCTACTATACCACGCTGACCAGACGGGTTGGTATACCAGAAACCCATACCAGAAGGCTCTATACCAGAAAAAATCTATGTCCTACAAGCTCAAAATACGCCAAACTTAGATGAACTAATATTCCAATCTATCCTTCTATGGAATGCGCTCCCACTTGAGATCAGGGCCTCAATTCTGTTATTTTATGTTAAACTCAAGCCACTGTCATTCTATTGACAGGCTATTGAGATTCCATTTTCATCGGTCTAAATATCAGTATTCTACTAACATAAATTTACAGTATCAAGTGACTGTCGATATAGTAATATAGATCATCATAGATGATATGAACAATATTGCCATACCTGGAAAATTGAATATATATATTATTTTTATACAAATTTAAAATGTACCGTTTACCAAACTGTTACAGAGACATCGACGGCATTTGTATCAGTGACAAGTTATCGGAAGGCCATTGGTCTTATATAGTTAGTAGAATAGGCAAAGTACAAAACTATTCATACGACGTTCTATCGACAGTCTATTGATACAATATTAAAATAGCAGAATTAAGCCCAGGATGTCAGCAAGTCATGACGCGTTTAAAGCTAAAGTCCGAGAGTTCTACAAGAAACAGCTAGCAGAAATATCCTCATGATCCCGTCACCTCAGATAACATCGTATTTATTTTATTTATTTATTTTATATTATATAAATATTTATTAGTGTATTCGTCTATGTACTTTTAAATAGCATTATTAATTATAACGTTTTATTTTTATAGCTTTTCTTATTTTTTCATAAAACGAGTCCATACACATTATGTCTCTTACTGAACCATTTTAAGGTTGACTGGTAGATAATGCCATTATCCGCCGATTAAGTCCACCTAGTGCAGGTTGTAATGCAGGAAGTGTAAATAAATAAATAAAATATTGCGCCCAGGGTGAAATCTCACACCCAGAATTTCCTTTTTAGGGTACACCTGGTTCCCTAGCAGAAGAAGGACCGGGTGGCGGCGAGCGCGTTGCGAAGCGCGCTCGCTTGCAGAGAGCAGAGGGAACATGGGGTTCCCACACGGGGGGGGTCGTCTACTCGTCTGTAGATGGCCCGAGGTATGTCGGGGCACCAGGGACTTCCTTTCTAGGGTATACCTGGTTCCCCGGCTATTAGTAACCGAGACGGCGTGCGGTTTTAGTCGGTTCGAGTCCGACATGCCACCGATAGGTGGTATCCGAGGGGATTTCCGCACGGAACAAAAAAAAAAAAAACAAAAGGGTACACCTGGTTCTCCGACTACTGGTACCTGAGACGGCGTGCGGTTTTAGTCGGTTCGAGTCCGACATTGCCACCATTAAGTGGTATCCAAGGGGATTTCCGCACAGAAAAAAAAAGGGAATCTCACTGAACTCTCATAATGGCAACGTTAGTATTTGAAATGCGAGGATCGCTCAGTGGCCGCCAGAGACACATTAAGAAAACAAACCAATTTCTTGACCATATAACCTGGTATTAGCTGTGATGATTATTTTTTATGATATAGAAGGCTAATGAGCAGAAGTCCCAGAGGAAAGTGACATCTGAAACTCAGGAGTCACAAACGCGTTGTAGGTCTTTAAAGTGGGAGCATACTTTTTACCTGAAGGCATGGAGATAGTGTTGGTCTGGAAATACAGTAGTTGACAATTTGTTCTACAGATTATTTCAAAAAGTTTTTTGAAAAGCTAACAGAAGTGGAGTGCCAATTATCCAAGTGATGGATGGGTGTTTTACTTTATATAATGTTGGTTTGTTAAAAGGTTATGTTTAGGCACTGTTGAGACAAAGGTTATGTTTCTTCAAAAGGCGGACCCAGATACTATACTGCACTCACATAGTTCTCTTTAAAATTGTACACGGACTTAAAAAAAAGACAATTCTGTGGTTTGTTGCATTCCTTACCAGTGTGAGTCTTAGGAAATGCCGGCGGCTTCAAGCTGTAAAGTCCGACTTGTAAAAATATCTGAAATGATTTACTTGCAGAAATAAATATCATTTATCATTGGCAAATACAATATTTCCAATAGTTTAAAGTGAAATTGAGTCACCTTAGATGACAATATAATTAGGTCAGAATTTAATATCAAGATGACGGGATTACTGGACTATTTAAACAAACAGACCTTAAAAATATTGTAACATTGAGTATCATAAAAATATTTTTTCAAGTAAATTGCAATACCTTATTTTCATGAAATTCAAAAATGAACAGACACGTAAACGTTTTTATAATAATAATAATAATTTCACACATCTCACCACACGGCCGTCTGATCCCAAACTAGGCAGAGCCTGTACTATGGTAATCAGACTGCTGATAAACATACTTATATATTTCTAAATACATACATAATATAGATAAATTACACCCAGACACAGAACAAATGATCGTGCTCATCACACAATTATTTGTCCTGGGTGGGAATGGAACCCATGACCTCTAGCTTAGCAGTCAGGGTCACTAACCACTAAACCAACAGGCCCGTCGTTTATCATTTCATGATACGTGTACATAAGTAAATAAGGTCAGTGTTTTTGTTTTGAATAGCTGAGAGATATTATAATTATGAAAGAAAAGAAATAAACAAAACATGTGTTTATCTCAATTTATCTACTATATTTTTTTTCCATTATAGTCTATTAAATAACATATATATATTGAAACCATTGCACAGAGCACGGACATGGAGTTGTGCTAAGACATCGGAAATATTGTGTAAGTAACTATTTTACAATTTTGAATTAATTGAGACTAGTGATTAGCTAGTGATTCTGACTGCTAAGCCGGAGTTCATTGGTTCGATTGCCAGCTAGGACAAATATTGTGTAATGAGCACTCCTATCTGTTCTGTGACTGGTAATTTATCTATAATGGGTACGTGTTTAGAATTATATATCTAGTGTGTTTATTTAGAAATAAATGTACTCAGTTGACAGCATTAGGCCTGTCCCATTTGACGTAAGCGGTACTAAAATTGTAATTACGAGACTTACGAGATAAAATCTTATGGGTATATGTTTATATGTAAATAATATTTTTTCTGGGGTGTTATACAGTGAAATGGTGGAGTCGAAACTATGAGTGTTCCGTCATCTGGGTATACCTCAAGAAGTAAGTCCCCATATTATACAAATATTGCCTCTTGCGTCTCTTGACAGGAGAAGCGTCTCTCTACCGACCTTAGTTTTATTCGTGGTCCAAAATGAAAGTGTATGGGATTCCGTAGCTTTATTGTGTGAAGATGCAATGTCCGCTAAAAAGGATAGATATGACCAGGACTCTCTGTTGTCCCGGCGAACAGGAACCAACGCTTGAGAGCACAAGACGGCTTATATGAGGTGGTCTGGAGGTAACGAGCAAGGCTGCCGGCTACTCTAGCTTCTGCTTTTACAGACTGAAATGATGACGTGACGCAAAAAGTGGACACGGCCCTCTGCAAACAATGATATTGTTCTCAAGGACTCTAGGGTATCTCAGAAGATGGGACCCTGTATACATCCGCGTCCCTTGCCGTAGACTCAAATGAGTCTATGGCATAAATATGTTACTATTAGACCGTAGTACCGTTTAGTCAGTGCGATTCCAAAATTACACTTCACCGTGAGCCCGAATAAAGACAAAGGAAACGAATTAATGTTTTGGATCAGTTTTAGAATCATGGACGCTATCAGAGTACAATTAAGAACGAAATTCATCCAAATGGGACTACGTACAGTTGTACTGTTGCAGCTTACATCATATATGTGGCCGCAGTTTACGGACGTAAAAGGTTCGTTTTTGTTTAAATTTAGTGTAAATGTTTCTTTGGCAAAAAATAGAAAAAAAACATAAAAGAAAGAAAGACAGATTATTAACAACTTATTCAAATTCAGTTTTTCCAAAATTTGCTTAGATTAAGTAGTATCCACTATCGGTATTCATTTTCACATCACATCATCAACAGCCTTTAATAGTCCACTGCTGGACATAGACCTCTCCTTAGGAAGGAGGTTTTGGCCTACTATACCACGTTGGCCAGACGGGTTGGTATTGGGTTTGTGTCAAGTTTTCCTTCTCTTTGCAGTGCTGTTGTCGTGCGTAGTTTGTTACCTTAGTCGGCTCTTACGACACCCACAGGATGAATAGGGGTGGTGACATTCCGTATTATTAATCCGTCACCACACGGATTCATTATACTCTGTAACGAAATGACAAAAACTGTTATTTATGTAGGTATTGTAAAAATAAATATAGATTGTCCTCGTATTATTTTTAAAGTTTACTGAAAGAGAACTATACTATGGGTTAAGCTCGCTTTTATGCACACTACTCTTCTTATGTTTAATGTTTAAATGATTACTTTGTGTACGTAAAGAATAAACAAATAAGTTTAATTTATTTATATTGTAGTATTAAACTTTTTTCAGATGTAAAACCATGCTACGATTTTATCATAGTGGGATGTGGTACGGCGGGCGGTTTCTCGCGAACAGACTCTCTGCGAGTGGTAAACACCAGGTCCTAGTTATTGAAGCTGGCGGAGATCCTCCCATAGAATCCTTAGTAAGTAAATTCGTCTTCTATTGATTGGTAAGTTTTCATCTCTCTACAAATCTACTTATCTCTTAGATAAGTAGATTTGTAGAGAGACCAAATCAAAATGTAGAGACCAAATCTAATAAAAATGGAATAACTCTACACACTAAGGTGTGTAGAGTTCAAAGAGACCAAATCTAATAAAAATGGAATAACTCTACACACTAAGGTGTGTAGAGTTATTCCATTTTTATTAGATTTGGTCTACGTCTCCTCTGGTCTTTTCTTTTTCTGTATATTCAGAAATATACTGTTTACTCAATACGGGGTACGTGCGACGACGCGCCAAAACTAAAGTAGTCCCAGATTATTCTGAGTACAAAATCTTTAAATTTTTATGCCAGAAAATTCAACTTTAATTTAGCGATTCCCATTAACATTGATTTATACATTAACATCTTGACTCTACACTTTATACAGTTCATCTGACTCTATCTTTTACTTAAAAATATTATTTATAAAACATACCTCTCAAAAAAATTAAAATTTAAAATTCACATTCAGTGAAACTCCTAGAATAAGTGTAAAAACCTCCTAACCATTCAAAAGACTTCAAAGATATATATATAAAGGTTTTCTCCCAATATTTTCCATTGTCCTAAAACAGTTCACGAAATATACTCGTGAGACCATAAGAAAAACCAAACTAAAACAAACCCAGTGTGAAAAACAACAAATCTGTTGAACGGGTTATCGTCTGCGGTATTTTCGGACCGATACGACCTTCAAACCTTCAAGAAAAGAGCGTACTCCTTTCTAAAAGGCCGGCAACGCGTTTGTGACTCCTGGGTTGCAGACTTCATGGACGGCCATGGTCACTTTCCAACAGGTGACCCGTCTGCTCGCCTGCTCCCTCTAACATAAAAAAAAACCGTAAACTCAAAAATACTTTAAAGGCACAACCCCTCAATTTTTTTTTCCATTTTAAAGAGTAAAAGAATTAGAATCAATATTTATTTTCAAATTTGACCTTTGATTTTGTTGTAAAACTATTTTACAATTAGGTTATTTTGAATAAAAATTCAACATGGATGTTTTTTCAGTACGCGGGAACCTTTCTATACCTGAAAAACTCCCAATATGACTGGAACTTCACCACGGTCAACGATGGATTTACAGCACAAGCCCATAGAAACAATATCCTCACCTTAACTAGTGGCAAAATGCTCGGCGGCAGTAGTTCTTTAGGTCACTTGCTTTATCTCCGTGGAGATCCGACTGACTACAACCGTTGGGCTGATATTGTCAAAGACCAATCATGGAACTACGAAAGCCTGCTCAAATATTTCAAGAGATCCGAAATTTTAGACTATAAGGATATGTATACACGAAACGATTATTTTCATGGCACTGATGGACCAATGGGTGTAACTAGATTTGTAAACCAAGCAAGTCTGAAATTTTTACATATTTTCAATCAAGCAGGCCACCAAGTTATAAAAGATGGAAATAGGAACATGACTCTAGGTTATTTTGAGCCGATGTTTATGAGCAAAGACGGCATCCGTCAAAGCATATCTTATACATATCTTACTCCAATAAGAAGTCGATCAAATTTACATTTTCTTAAAGAAACTGAAGTGATAAATATTAAATTGGATAAAGACAAAGCTGTCGGTGTAACCGCGATTAAAAATAATGAAATCATAAGAGTAAAAGCAAACCGGGAGATTATTATTTCAGCTGGTGCGATTAAAACACCTCAGCTGTTGATGTTATCAGGTATAGGTTTAAGTGATCATTTAAGTGACCGTGGTATCGAAGTTAAAAAACATTTGCCTGTAGGTGAATTTTACCAAGACCATTTAGAAGTAACTTTAGTACATAAACTAAAACTTCAAAACCAGAAATCACGTTCTACTGATCCGCATGAATTTCCTGCATCTGTCATCATAGGTAACGTGGCTATACACAAAGGAAGAACAACACCGGATTATCAATCAAAAAATTTTATAATTCCAAGTTATTCTGACACTCTCTTGTCTATTTGTTCCGTTGAAAACACCTTTAGAAACGATATCTGCCAATCTTTGTACAACAAAACTAAAGGGTATGAAACTATGCTTTCAAAAATTATGTTCTTGCATCCCAAAGCAAAAGGCCGTGTTGTGTTGCATAGTGCAGATCATACAGACAACCCTTTAATTATTTCTGGTTTTTATTCCCAAGCTGAAGATTTGGACACTATGTTAAGTTATGTGATTGACTTTATACAACTGGCCAAAACGGCTATTTTCAAACAATTCGCTGGTGATCTCGTTTTACCAACATTACCCGAATGTGATGATTATTCTGGTATCACTTATTGGAAGTGTTACTCGTTACACATGATGAGTTCTGCATATGACTACTCTGGTACATGTTCCATGGGGTCAGTAGTTGATGAAAGATTAAAAGTCATAGGGGTGGGAGGTCTTAGGGTAGTAGACGCCAGTGTGATACCTGTAATTCCCAGTGGTAGTATCCAAGCGGCAGTTATGGCAATCGCAGAATAAGGAGCTGATATGATACTATACGATGCTGAAAACAAATGTCCATCAAAGTGTATCCCAAATATCTGAATTAGTTTTTTAGTTTAGTAGTTTACTTCTATTTGTAGTCATCATAATTAGCCTATCGCAGTCCACTGCTGGATATAGACCTCTCCCATTGCACGCCACTTAGATCGATTTTGGGCTTCTCGCATCCAGCTCCTGCCAGCCATCTTGCGCAAATCGTCACCCCACCTGGCCTGTGGGCGTCCTACACTGAGTTTGCCGAGACACGGTCTCATTTGTAGTATAATTACAAAACTAGTATATAAAAAAATATTAAGTATCATTGTCAGTGGGATCTGGTATTTACTTTCCATCAAGTGACCCGTCTGCTAGTTTGCCAGAATACCGTAAGAATATCATTTTTAGGACCTCTTCCCAATTTTATGTGGTCGAAGCTATGTGTAATGGGTATGGCAAATGGGTCTTTCTGATTTCTTTTATAGCTGGCTGTAGGCTGAATGACGCTAAACTCTTTTAAAAGAATGGTTTGGTTCCTAGTTATCGGTCAACATTTATGCGTCAGTTGACAGTCGAAGCCATCTGTCACTCTAGCAGAAGCAGCCTGGGGTGGGTGGTAGCGCGACGCGCTACGGAGCACGCACGCCCTTCAGGGGCAGGAAAGGAACATCCGGGTTCCCACACAGGAGGGGTCATCTATAAGCCGTAGATGGGTCGGGGTACGTCGGGGTACCAAGTCTTTCCTTTATAGGGTATACCTGGTTCCCCGGCTTCTGGTACCTATAGACGGCGGTTTTTGGTCGGTTCGAGTCCGACATAATCATCCACTGGTGGTAAAGTGCGAGGGGAGTTCCGCACAGAAAAAAAGGGTAGTAAACGAAATTAAATATTATATTATTGTTTTTTTTGCTGTAAACATTTGTGTAAAATTGTGTAAAATAAAATAACTTTGTCTCATTAAATTATTATACACTAGCGACCCATCTCTAGTGTACGAGAGACCAGTAGACCATATTGCAAGGATGCAATGTAGATATTAATCGGGTTTTAGTGTGGGGTAAATAATAAAATTATTAATATATTTAGACTATAGACTACGGGATGTTTAGACTACGGGATTTCTTCAATATACAACACTTATAGGCACGCGCCGCGCTTGCCGGCCGCTCTGCATTCGCATTTTAAATCTCTGAAATCTTTTAAGATATTCATTTTAATGATATGTTTTAAATTGCAATTTGGAACTATATTAAATGCATAACTTATTTAACGTCTTTATTTGAATTAGTAATAATAGTGTATTGTTTAAAACAACTTCGTAAATAACCAATTTAATAAAAGATAAAAATGGTTAGTGTTGGTTACCCTTAGGAGAAAGATTTATACCATTGAGTCGACTCCCATATACAAAGAAACAGGAACATACTACAGCGCCATCTAATGAAGACACACCAAACTCCTGAATGAGAATAGCTAATCCTGTATCACGATATGAAGGATTCTCTCGCCGATTAGCATATACGACTTCCCAACATGAACCGTTGGGCCAGTTGAGTTGATCGCCAGGCATCATCACCTCGCCTGGTCGGAGGATTCTCCTTTGTGTTGGAGAGACATGACACCAGTTCCTCCACACCATCGTCAACTCGACTGCGACTTTTTTGGAGATCGTTTTAAGGTATACAAATCCGTAGTACATTATTTTGATCTATCTCGTAAAGTTTAGCCAGCGTTTGCAATGCAATAAAAACATGTTTCTACGACATCACATTACAAATCTTTGAAATTCTCGAATTTTCTCTACTAAAATATGCATGTATTATACATTCTCTATTCTCATCTTTCTTTTAAAGAAAATCGTTTTAAAATCGGTTGCGTAATTTGAAAGATTTAGCGTACAAGAACGGAAAGTGATTTCATTTTATACTACGTAAACATGTGCACTAGAATTATAATATTAGTTGAAACTGTGTGTTATTTTTTATGTTAAAAATTGTGTATTTTTAATGGTTTAGGGGGCAAACGAGTTCATCTGTCACCCTAGCAGAAGCAGGCCGGGGTGGCGGCGGTAGCGTTGCCATGGGGTTCCCATACGGGGGGGGGGGGGGGGTCGTCTACTCGTCTGTAGATGACCCGAGGTATGTCGGGACACCAGGGACTTCCTTTCTAGGGTATACCTGGTTCCCCGGCTATTAGTACCCGAGACGGCGTGCGGTTTTAGTCGGTTCGAGTCCGACATGCCACCGACAGGTGGTATCCGAGGGGATTTCACACCTTCAACTAAGATTCACAATTGTATTGCCGCTTTTTAAACCACCCCAGAATTAGGGGGAGGACTTGGAACTCCGGTAAATTCACTCACTAGCTGGAAAGCAGCGAAAAGGTTACTTAACACAAGTTTTCTGTGAACCCGTGGTATCACTCCGGTTGAACCTGCCTATATACCATTTACTACCTCGGTGGTGCAGTGGTAGCGTATGCGACTGCTGTGCTGAGGTCTCGGGTACGATTCCCGGGTCGGACCAAGTGTTTGTTTGATCTGCAAATATTTGTTTCGGAGTTTGGGTGTTTTCTATGTGTAATATGTATGACTTTACAAAAAAAAAGTTTTGTATCAGTCAATCTAGCTTTCATAGAACAAGTTCTGCTTAGTTTGAAACTAGATGGCGTTGTGTGTCAAATGTCCAAAATAAAATTAATAATATACCATGAAGCATGGCTCTCTTATAGTTTCTTTGATATTTGCTTGCTTACTTATGTGGTAATTTAGTAAACTTTATTTAAAAAAAAATATTCATTCGAATGTAAACCGTTTTATTTACAAGAGCTAGTACATTTTGTAGAAAATTTACACCAAAACAGAAAACAAATGATCGTACTCATCAAACAATATTTATATTATATACTAGCTGAGACCCGCGGTGTTACCCGCGTTTGTTGTTATAACCGCGGGCAACGCCGCGGGGCGAAGCTAGTCTAAAAAAAGTAGCCTAAGTTACTCCTTATGTCATCAGCTATCTGCCAGTGAAAGTCCCGTCGAAATCGGTCCAGCCGTTCCAGAGATTACCCGGAACAAACAGACAGACAGACAGATAAAAATTGTAAAAAATGTTATTTTGGCATATGTACCGTGTAAACATACATATGCATTTAGTAAAAAGCGGTTATTTTAATATTACAAACAGACACTCCAATTTTATGTATACTATTACTTTTTCCAGCATTTGGACAACTTTTTAGTGGGTAAAAAATTCAATTCCCGAGAGGGAGTACAAAATGCCTTTGAAGAGTTTGTTGCCGTCCAGCTGATTTTTACAAGAATTATTTTAATTATTATTAATAAACTGCCAACGCATTGGCAGAGATGCGTCGATTGCATGGGTGCTTAATTCGAATAACAGAAATAAAAAAGTTTGAAAAAATAAGTACTTTCACTTATTGCATACAAAACGGCAATTTCATAGGTAAAGACCTATTATACATACGAGTAGATGTATGTATGTGTGTAATGGTATAAGTTAGTCAAAACTATAAAACTGCCATTACAACTGTAACCTCAGGGCACCTACCTCACCAGATCTCTACACCAAAAGTTGGCTGGTAGAGAATGCCCTGGACATTAAGTCCGCCAATTTATGGAAGTTTATTTTCTTTATTTTTTGTTTTCTTATTAAAAAGACAACTCCCGCATTGGGAATATATCCAGTGTCGCGGGGGACTACAAACATACATGAAACGGACACAAAGAACACCCAGACTCAGAACAACAATTTGTGGATCTCTCAAATTTTCGAATCGATCGAAGCGGCGCAGCGACCGCTTAAACCACTACGCCATCCGTGCAGTCGTGCCTTGATATTTATTAAAATGTTAGTTAGTATTTAATAAGTAAAAAAAATCCTATATGCCATATTAAATTGTGCGTTTTCATCACATACTGTCCTTCATTCAAGTATCTTAGCTGTTTTGAATGAAAGGTTTGTTCCTGGCCAGTTTAATAACTTCTGAGAAATATAAAACTATTACATTGTAATACATACTACACCTTAATTTATCGTACTGGTTTATGAATGAATCTCTTCGTGGACGCAATCACACCGAACTGTATCTACGTAACACACTGAATGAATGTATGGTACAGCCATTGGTTGAACACTGACATGAGCGAGATAGAATTTAGTATCTATGCTTTAGAACAGAAGTAAAGTAAAAAATTGTAGCATTTTATTTATTGGAATGAAGTTCCTTACCGCGCGTTACACGCTCTAAGCGGATGGGAGAGAGATCGAAAAATCTATAAAAAGATTTTTTTGTCCGACACTTTTATAACTTTTTTGTTTATATATTTATTTATTTATGAGTTGCCAACATTTGTTTGCACGCTTACAGAGTTTTAGAAACAAATAATATTAAGTAAAGTGTAACAAATACTTATAGGCAAATACAACATGCACTGTTTTGACACTTTATACAAACAAAAGAAGAAAATTAAAACTAACAAAATACTAAACATGGATAGGTTGCACGTTTATTTATCTCGATAATATTTCAAAAGTGTGAATCGGAACTTATTAAGCGAGACTGCATTGATATCGACAAAAGCACAAGATTGATTTGCCAACCTTGAGAGCCTGGGAATCGGTGAATTGGCTACATAAACTGTCCTACGTAGTGGAGGGTAGAAGGGTGTGATTCGGTACCGAGGGTATTTAGCTGGAACACGCAAATTATTGTTTTCCAGTAGCTGCGGGCAACTGACAATGCCATGCAGAATTTTATACAGAAAGATATTATCGTTAACATCCCAACGATCCAATAAAGCGTTCATACCGAATATCTTAAGCTTTTTTTTGTAGGGAGTGTCTCTTTTGATATGCTGATGATTATATGACAAATGCCACATAAACCTTTTTTGAATACGCTCCATACGCATTGAGTGGACTGCAAAATGTGGCCTCCAGACAACACTACAGTATTCAAGGATGCTACGCACCAGGCGC